TTAATTTCATATACATGGACCCATTGTTGTACTTCCTTTGCTGTGAGATAGGTTCCCTGATTGGATGCAGTGATATGTGGAATGCACTGCTGGTAGATAAACTATTTTGTGAGTTCATAGATAATGGTGCTGGCAGGAACATTATTGAGCAGCAAGGGCTATTCATTTTCAGAGTATGTGAATATTCCAATAAGGATGAATCTTTGCCCCCTCAATGATGGAAGACTGCCAGTATAATCAATCTGCCATCAGACAGCTGCTTTGTTGTCCTGGGAAAGGGGGCCATATCAAGGACTCAGTGTTGTTTTCTGCTCTTGACAAATCAGGCACTTGACAGTAGTGTCAGCAAGGTGAGCCTTGGTAAGGAGACATTCAGATTGTTGAGCATATACATAGCCTGCATCCCTACCACGATGGCCACTTTGTTCAAGGGCCCATTGAGCAAGCCCTGGATGGCTAGGCACAGAGGCTGGCTGACATCCAGAGATAGTGCCATTTTGTCTACCTGATTATTAACAGTCTCCTCTGCAATGGATACCTTTAGTGTGCATCCAAATGGGACACAAATGTCTTCACAGTTTGTGCCCATTAAGAGAAATTCATCTGTATACCTCTTCCCCAAACTTCCTTGTCACCAGTCTTCCAATCTTATTCCTTTCTAAGTCCCTGTACATCTAGAAAAAACCATTAGCAACTGCAACTCCCATTTGGATCCACATTAGGTTGGAGGTAGGTAAAGAGTAAACATAGTTCCTCAAATAAGAGGTATAAGTACTTTTCCCAAAAGAAGAGATGTGCTCTGAGCTGACAAAACAATAAATGTTCCCTACATGTTACCCTTTGGCTATTCAGTGCATGCATGTGCACACACATGTACACACACACACACACACACTGTTGTTTACATATCTGTAGTTTCTCTTAACATAAAGCAACTATCCCTTATGCAATTGACAATGTACTCAATCCCTACCCAATGCTAGGGGAAAACTCACAAGTCACATCCAGCCCAAATTCAGGATCTTTGAGTGTAGTAAATCTTGATAAGGTCCAGATCTAACTAGATGATAATGAATTTTTCCCCAATGCACAAATATATAATAGATGGGGTGGGGAACAGGATAACAAAAACTGATATGAAAGAGCAAAAAGGAGACGCACTGTACAATAGTTGACAATACACTGTGTAATGTAGAATAAGCATAAGGACTTCTCTTCTCCAGGAGAAAATTGAGATATTTTTTCAGCCACTCAAAGTGCCAAGATTTGTTTTATCTATTATCCTCAAAGATTCCCCGTTAGAGGAGGAGTGAGAAGGAATTTCCTGGGACCGCCCTGGCAACTGAATTCATCTTTCTACAGATACCAAGATTGGGATGTTGTCTTTGAGACGGCACAGCAGTAGAGGCCTTTTGCAAGGGTAAAGCCTTTCTGGCAATCCCTTAAAATTTACTTGGCTGTCAGTCAATGTCATTTGGGGGAAATCCATTAGCTCGTTATCAGAAATCTCATTGAGACAGTAAGCTTTAAATAGGGACTTTGCCCTTCTTGTTTCTATCTCTTGGAAACTGGCCTGGCAACTCTGTCAATCACCCTAGATCTTAGTTCACTGTCTTTGCCACAGACTTTATCTGAGGGCAGGGAGAGAAACAGGCTCGGATTGTAAAGCCAAGTTACAGCTTCAGACTCTGTCCCCTAAGTCATGAACCACTCAACTGGCAAAACGAGAGAAATTACCTTTCAATATCTTTCAGCTGGTAAGGGGGCACCGCAGAAGATATTTGAGAAGAGCCCAGAGGAATGAGACCTCCCTGACTCCATTGCTCTGCTGGGTCTCTGCATTCCTGTGTAGTGTGTTAACCTTATGGGGGGAGGGCAGAAAATCTAGTTTTTTCAATTGGCAAAATAGATATTATCTGATCATTATCAATGTAAGATAACTAAACCACTGGCAGAAAGGACTCTTCTTACCAGCTGCTTAAGTACTACTCAACTATTGCCCATCTCTTTCCAGAAGGCCCTACTGAACCAGTTTGTCTCTCTCAAAGCACTAGGGGAGCAAGAAGGAGCCAATATATTCCAATAGCTTGATTTAAAAAAAAAAAACAACCAAAACAAGTTTTCATAAGGCTAGAAGCCTTAGTGGGCATAGCTATCTGTTGTGAAGGATCACTTTTTGCTTGTTTTTAGTTACCAGCCCAACAGAGACAAATGCTTTCATAAATATAAAACTGTGTGATGTGAAATTACTAAAAGTTTCAAAATGCTCCACTCAATTTCTATACCTATTTCATTGCTGATCAATACAGTTTGCAGACTGGCTTTGGTCCATACATCACATTTTTAAAAAATATTTTTATTTATTTCTAGGAGAGAGAGAGAGAGAGAGAGAGAGAGACAGCGTGAGCAGAGGAGGGTCAGAGAGAGAGGGAGATACAGACTCTGAAATAGGCTCCAGGCTCTGAGCTGGCAGTCAGCACAGAGCCTGACGCGGGGCTCGAACCCACAAACCACGAGATCATGACCTAAGCGAAAGTCGGACGCTTAACTGACTAAGCCACCCAGGCACCCCCATACATCACATTTTAAGGAGCACTGATCTAACAGATAAATCTCGCTAGGTTCTCAGCCTAGGTCTCAAAATCTGTATTAATATGAGAGTCTTGGTTCAGAACATAAACTGTATACTCTAACCTTACCTACGACCTGAATAATGAATAATATTATAATCTTACCTGGCTGCTAATTAATGGAGCACATTCTAAGACCAGTGAAGCCCACTGGCTTTATCTCATTGTTTTATTTTCATGGTGAAGTGAATGCCTTGGTCAGAGGAAGGGTGTATGGGCTAATGTGATACGTCTATGGAGAATGAGGCTTGCGTACAGCAACACCACATCTACTTCCAGAATGAGGAACTGTTGTACTGAGACAAATTGTTGACTCATCTATGACAAAAGGGAGTCCGGAGTAATTGACATGCTTCATACCAGGTATCTTGCTGGTCCCCCGAAAGAAAGTTGCTTCATGAAGACCTTAAAATTGGTCACCATTGCTGTGAAATTGACTTTTCAGCAGTGGCACTAATCAGTGGATTACAGCCTTTCCCTTGCTATTTCCTTGGTAAATCAGACCCTGTTGCAATACAGCTTAAAACCCATCACTTCCTCTAGCACTTGGAAGAAAATCCAAACTCCCTTCTATGTCTACAAGGCACTGAAGGTTTAAGGCCTGACTTTCTCCCCAATTTCATCTCTTATCACTCTTTTCCCCTTGATTTGATCAGGAAGTTGCATCCATGTAATGTTCCAGCATAGCAAACTCTTAGCATATCTTGTTCCCTCTGTCCAGAACACTCTCTGAACATCCCTTCTATTTCCATAGCTTTCAGTGAACAGCTGAAATATTATCTCCTAAAAGTTATTTCTCCAGTACGACACACACATGACTTTCCAGTCAAGCCTCCTTTATTACACTTGATCTTAGCCAAAAGGCCGAGAAGCGATAAGCCTCGTTTATTTTCTTCACTTATACCTAACACAAGCTACAATTACTTAATATTACTCGAAAACAAGTTAGTACAAAAATGGAAACAAAATGGAAATTCCATAAATCTACAGAGCTTTTAAATGCTCAGATATTTTTTGAATACTCAGAGTAGGAAGCAAAAGATCAAGAGTCATCCTTAGATACCCAATAGATAATAAAATACCCAAATGGTTGCATACTCTCAAATCTCCTGAAGTCAGCCCTTGTCTTCATTCTCAAACGGATAGTGGCATTATCATTTTTCATCCACGATTCACACCAATCAGAGGCCAGGTACCCATGACCCCGCCTTGTGGCCTTTTATTGAATCAGAGCTCCCCGTCGGCCTCTTCTGTGGCCAGAGGCTTCTGGCTGCCGCTGAGCTCGGGAGCAGAGCCCCGTGCCCGCCTGCAGAGTGGGACTCCGGGGGCGCCGCGGGGTTCTGCGCTGCCTGGCGCTCCCCAGGCCGTTACTCGAGTCTCGCTCCGGCCGGCAGCGCCTCTCAGGCTCCCGCCGAGAGCTCATCGGGCCCCAGCGTGGCCGTTCAAACTGGCGAGTGTGCGCCTCTCGGGGTCCCCGGATCCTACTTGGGCGCATAGCCGTGAAAGAGTCTCAGACCCCAGGCGCCCAGCTTTCGAGTGATCGCCCTCCTGCGCCCGTCGGCCGGGGCCACCGCTTCTCCTGCTGGGCGCCGCAGCCCTAGCCTGCAGCCGCCCTCTCCTCCGGTCCATCCTTCCAGGATCCGGCTGCGCCGCGTAAAAGCCTCTTGAAGTGCTCGGGCTCCCAGGCGGAGTCCTGATCGCAAACCGAAGTTGAGTAAGGAATAGGGAAGGGAGAGACGACAGACGTGTGACCTAAGCTCCTTGCCTCTATCTACTTATCTATCTAAATATCATCTATCCAGCATCCACCCACCCACCCATCTATCGATCTGTCCATCCATCCTTCCGCTATCATCTCTTGTCGCTGTATTTTAGGACTTGAATTAGAATTCCTTAATGAGAGGTTTATCATGACGTCGTAAATGAATGCCTTTAACTGAAAAAGCGAAAATAGGACTTTTTCAAACAGAAAACGTCTCAAAGTAAACTGAGGACTAGTTTTGCTAATTACGTCAAGTGGTGGACCTTTAAGTTGAACGAGCTAACGAGAAAGTTCTAAGGTTTCGACAAAAAAATTAAAGTCCATTTATACTATACTGTGTGCCAGAAATTACGTACTCGTGTTTAGAGATCAGCTAAAAAGGTACAAAGGTCACGCGGTTTTTTTCAAAACCTTTTTAGGCGGTCCTCCAGCAAAAGAAGTGTAGCCCAATAGCAGTCCCTGCCCCCAACACCCGGACGTCGCCCAGCCCAAGAGCGGGAGGGGCCTACCTTGAGGGACTAGGAAGGAGGAAGGGAAAGTGGGGAAAGGGGCGGGGGAAAGTGACGGGAGCAGTGAGAGCCGGAAATGAGTGGCTAGCGAGGAGCCCAGGGGCGCCCTGTCCGGCGGCGCTCTAGCCCCCGCGCACTGTCTCTATGTTCCCCCTGCGTCTGGTCTATTTATTGTCGCGGGGAAGAAGCGGCCGCCCAGTACCCGGAACAACAAAGCACGAAAGACGGAGCCCGAGCCTCGGGGGCTCCTAGCAACGGGTCGGGGCGGGAGTTCCATGGAGACTGGGGAGCGCGCCCGCCTCATCATCATCCTTGTCCTCCAGCTTATCATTCGCATCCGACGTAACCGGCAGCAGCGCTGCCGCCGCGTTCTCTGCCGCCGCCCCCTCTTCCCACGGTAACCCCGTAGGCGACCCTGGGCGGGGGGAGCGCGGGCGACCGGGCGGCCTGAGCGCTCGCTGCCGGGCATCTGGGCGCCGGGGCTGGCGTGTGCGAGCCGGGCCGTACCGCTGGTGGGGTGTGCGGGGGCGGACGACCAGAGGAGAGGAACTAAGGTGGGAGGAATTGGTCCGGGGGCCGAGGGACGGTCTACTTCTGAGGAGGACTGGGTGATATTTGGGGAGCTCATCAGGGATAACGGCGTGGGGGCGGGGCGTCCCTGCCTTGTGAGCGTTATCGAGCAGGGTGTAGCCTAAGAAAAGAGGGGTTTTATTTTTCCTGTTACCCTCCCCTGGGAAAGACAGAAAGGAGATTCCCCATCTGTTTCTGTGAAGCCCTCACCCAGGAGAAGCAGAATCGTGCAAAGATGCTAGGGGTCCATTGCTTCCCAGAAAACTTCCAGCGGCCTCTGCCGCGGCGGGAAGGCTACCAGATAGCACCTTCCCCGGTTACTGGTGCCGGCAGTGCCAACAGCCCCACTTTATTATGGTCCAAATTAGGTTGGATGAAGAAGGGTTCGGAACTGAGGAAGATAAAATGAATTGTGGGTAGAGCTAAGCGAGAATGAGAATTGGAATAAGCGCTTAATGATAGCCAGCAAGAGCCCTAAAAGTAAATTTAATTGGGAATGAAGGTTTTTAAGCCCGAGATGTGCATCTGCGGGCTATCAGCGTGCTCATTGCAAGAAGACTCAGACTGCAGCCAGTCCACATCTGTGAGCTCTCTGGCAGCGTCTGTCACCTGCAGATGCAAAGCGACACTGGCAGTTCACCAGCGTGGGCTTGTGTATTTAGGGTTAAGAACAGTGCCTTAAAATTGGCTCAAGTTAGAAAAGAGAGAAACAAGCTTGGTGTGATTTTTGAGTGACGAACCAATTACAGAACCCCCGAGAAAATTGAAAAAGAGAAATATAAGGGAAAGATTTAGCTGTTGGAGCATTAATCTGCTGTCTCTTTTAAAGTTTGAGAAAATGGCAGTCCATTCAAATGGAGAAGGGACTTTTATCACTATCCGGTTTAAAGAATTATTTGCAGTTTGATATCTCCAGTTAAATATTCCGCAGCTTGTATGATCTCTCTGTGCTTTACATCCCTGTTTAGTGGTTTTATACTTTACCAAATCATTCCAGGTCAGTAAATTAGGTTTTCCTATGGTATACTGAAATAGCCGTATGTATCTTCTAGAGAATATTATGTTTGTGTCCAGTGAGACTAAAGCTCTTTATATGAAGTTGAGAATTAACAACGAAAATAAAACTGGTAAATCATAGAAGCAATTATGTCAACCACAGCTTCTGTTTGTCTACCCAACCCCCCCCCCTTTTTTTTTGTGCTAAGCTGGCTTGTTTAAAAAATTGTTTTAAATGTTTTTTATTTTTGAGAGAGAGAGAGACAGAGCACGAGGAGAGACAGAGCATGAGTGGGGGAAGGGCAGAGAGAGAGGGAGACAGAATCTGAAGCAGGTTCCAGGCTCTGAGCTTCTGAGCTGTCAGCACAGAGCCTGATGCAGGGCTCAAACCCAGGAACCATGAGATCATGACCTGAGTTGAAGTCAGAGGCTTAACGGACTGAGCCACCCAGGTGCCCCTAAGCTGGCTTCTTTTAAACAAAATGTATCATCCTTATCAGCCCCTTCAGAAACTGTAATGGTCTGCTAGTGAGTGCTCTTGATTGGTTGGCTGTTGCCAGAATAGAGTTTTTAAATTGGGCATTTTCATGGAATTGAGGTTCAGTACCTTTTGTTAAAGGAATTTCATGGATGTGCAAAAAGGTGGGCAGTTAATCTTTAATAGAAAGTATGAACATTGGGAAACTTAAAATTGCATTTTAAGATGCCAAGAAGAAAGACATGATGTTGTCATCTTTAGGTTAATGAATTGAGGATTGTTTAATCTATTCATAAAGCTGTTCTTCTCTGAAGGACACCCTGGGGGGGGTGACCACATTTGAGTCTGTTGGATGTTGAGTCCTGAGATTTCCATAGTGTACATGAGACTTAGTGAATTCCCTCGGTCACGGGGTTGCCATCACACACTTCACCTAGACCTTTTTGTGGTTACCTCTGTCCCTTCTGTGTTGGAGTGGGGGTCAAGCCCTAGCTTCCTCCTCTAGTAACAATCCAATTTCTGTGTTCCCTGCTCTCAACTACAGCATTCCCAGTGTCTGGTGTTGTTTTAGTTCCTATCCTTATTTAATCATGTAACAATCCAAATGATTTTTTGGGCTGTTTGTATTGTTTATTTCTTACAGAGTTTTCAGCACAAGTCCTTGGCCTATATATCCTTTTCACTAATGTTACTTTGTTGTGTTTTCCTTCTGTATCCCTCCCTTTTATTTGTAGAATCGAAGTGGTCATGTCAGATGTTCTGTATTCATTCTGTTTGTGCAGTACAACAGGTTAAGAACCTCATGCTGGGACTGTGTTGAAATAAGGCATGTAAAAAATATTGTCACTTTTCAGAATTAGAAGGTGTTTTCCAAGTTCAAGTGGTAGTACTATAATTGTAGACACAGTGACTTTTTTAAAGGTTAAAATTGTAGAGCTTACTGCATGTTTTTAATTGAGCCTCAGATTGTCATAATTTTTATTCCAAAAAGCTTCTTAATATCAGTCTTTTCTTATCATTTTGATTCTGAAAATTTAACTGAAATTACATTTTGCCAAGTTTGAGGGAGCAACTTAAGTGATTCCCACAAATCTCTCTTTATGTGGAAAATTTTGATGTCAAAACTTTTGTGGATATACGGTAGTCCCCTCTTTATCTGTGGTTTTGCTTCCCGTGGGTTGTTACCCCGTCAACGAGGGGCTGGAAGCAGATGATCCTCCCTCTGAGGTATGATCAGAATGGCAATAGTAGCTTAATATTAGGTTATTAGGTCATAGTGCCCACATCATTCACCTCATTTCATCTCAACATGTGTGCATTTTATCATCTCACATCATCACAAAAAGAAGGGTGAGTATAGTACGATTAGATATTTTGAGAAAGACCACATTCACATAACTTTTCTTATAGTACACTGTTATAATGGTTCTGTTTTATTACTGTTGTTAATCTCTTACTGTGCCTTATTTATAAATTAAACTTTATTATAGGTATGTATGTAAGAGCAAAACATAGTATATATAGGGTTTGGTATTACCTGCAGTTTCAGGCATCCACTAGGGGTCTGGGAACATATACTCCACAGATAAGGGGAACTGCTATATACATATATAGAATGTGCAGAATTTGCTCTACAGTAGACAAATACATATGAAGTATGCAACTGAATATTTTTGGAGAATGTTATTATCATGGATGTGGCACATCGTTTAAAATAAATATTGTATCATCTAATTGAATGGGTGTCAGCGTTGTTTTTAGGCAAAGGAAGCCTGTAATAATTTGGTGATTGATTTCCTTCCATTGCATCATCGACCACGTGATGAAATTATTGTTGCTTTGAAAAATAAAGTTTAAATTGATTCTAGGAGAATTTACAGTAGAGTGTGTTTCTCTGATGTCTTTAACTGAAGACCTGTAGCGCTTTGACAATTTAGCTGTGTTGTGACCTTTGAATCAAAAAATAAGGATTTTCTGAAAGGTACACTCATATTTGTTATACCTTTTATATCCCTGATGCCACATCAAGTATGTAAAGCTAGATGAAAGGTGTTTCTCTTCAGGTGCTTTTTGTGCACTTATAGGCAGCAGAGAAATGGACATAGGTGAATACCAAAACATGACACACACATTTGTATTTTAAATCGTTTGTTACATATTGCCTGGTGCTATTGGTGTACAGGTTTCATCATGCTTGATTAATGAGGAGCTTCTGGAGGACCAGGACCTGCATTGCTGTCCTAGTGTATGTTAATGTCATGCAGGTGTGTGTACATATTTTGAAGATTAGTATGTTAATAAAAGGGTGTATTTATTTTCTTTGACTTCAGAGAGTAATATGGTAGATGAGGCTAGCCTTTAGTTATCTAATCTAATTAGTAATCTAATTCTTGATGCCTGCAATTTCAGTTTTTTAACTGAATTATGAGCAGCAAAAATTTCTCTAACATGATTGGCGCTTTTTACTTTTTTTTTTTTAAAACCAATTCAAACAATAAAAATAATGATTTACTGCCTTGAGTAGCTCTAGTATTTGCTCGCATGAATGCTGTCTTGGGAAATTTCAAAAGGGTGAAAGAGTATATGCATGTTTGAGGTCTTTGCAGGCCACGTATACAAATTTGGCTTTTGTGAAACAGCCTTTTATTAAGAAGAAAGAGTATGTGTGTGTAGTTGTGGAAAAACCAAGATTCTAGAAATATGTCATTAGTGAAAAAGAATCCGTTTGTATCAGAAATTATATTTATCTGTTCTTATCTTGTGACTGGTGATAAAATTCAAAATTTGGCTTATATGGCTTGTTTTGTCTGGGAGACCTCCTGCTAGGGAATCCCATGAAATGTTAAACACACTAAAGTGAATTCTGCAACAGTTCAGATGGGCCTTCATGGAGGAATCAATAATGAAACTGTTTCAAATTTCACCAAAAACATGTAGCACAGAAGTTCGTCTGGCAAGTGCAAGCATGCGGTGCTCATTCATCAAGCAAGAGTACTGGAAATCAGGTTGTGCCTTGCAGACACTTTTCTCAGGACGCGTGTGGGTGGGGACTCTCAGTGTTTTAATTGTATTTAGAGACCATAGAGATCTGCTTATAGACCTTGGTCCATGGTATGGTTTTGGTTGGTTTTTTTTTATTTAATGTTTGTTTATTTTTGAGTGAGAGAGAAAGACAGAGTGTGAGCAGGTAGGAGGCAGAGAAAGAGAGGGAGACACGGAATTGGAAGCAGGCTCTGAGCTGTCAGCACAGAGCTCCACACGGGGCTTGAACCCACAGACTCTGAGATCATGACCTGAGCTGAAGTTGGACGCTTAACTGACTAAGCCACCCCTGTTTTTCGTTTTTAACTCGCTCAGTGAGAACTCCTAAAACTTTAAAAGCAGTAAAAATTTGTTTTTATCAATTAAATAGTTCCAAAGAATCAGGTGCTAACCTTTGTTGGTTGATAAATGACAGGTATTTTCATTGTGAGGCAGAACGATTTTAGTCCAAATCAGTTCTGCTTTCTTAGGATTAGTGTTAATATAGCACTGAAGAGTACTGGAATCAGGATACAGGTTGTCTGTTCAGCATAATGGCCTGGCAGCTTTTCCGTGACAATGACCTTGGCAAGTTATTTCGCTGCCTTGATTCCCCAGTTTTTTCAACTGCAGTATGGGGTTAATACTAGCACTACCCTGTAGGGTTGCTGTGAGAATTAAGTGAAAAGCATTTGGAACAATGCTCAGCATAGTTAGGTGAAAAAATATTAGCAGGTGCTAACAGCAGTGGTACTAGGCAGCACAATGCAGGTGAACCGGCTGTATATACTTTGTGTCTTTCATATGGAGGCTTTCTGTTAAAGCACTGAAATTCTTGATGTGTGAATCCTGACTGTTAGACTCATCCCTGCTGTTAGGTTCTGGGGGGAGGGAAGCACTTTTGTTTTAATTTTGAATTATCACACAGGCATCTGGTTATCACTTATGGCAGGTGGACTAAGTAAAAAGAGACATCTCTGTTTCTTGGGAAAGGAAGGCCAACAAAGCCTGATCTGGCACCGCGTTACAGCTATTGAAATGCTATTACCCTGTGGACTTGACCACTTGTTTTGCTGTATGGTTCTTCTGAGTAAAAGCAATAGACCCTGGTGGTTTTATTTAGCAGAATTCCTCTTTCTGTAGAGGATACTATTTTTGCTTGTATAACCTTAAATGGTGATAAACTTGAAACTTGTTGGTGTCTTTGTCAGGCCATTGAACTTGCGTTCTCTGTTATCACTATAAATGTTCTACATTGTAGCTTTCTTGTAATTTTAGAAGTAGCTGCGACTGCTGCTCTGCTCCAGTAATTCAAGTGACTCAAGAATGACCACATAGAATTGGAAAATTATTTGTTTATGGTAAGGCTAACACCAGATACTGAGGCTTACCTAATCAGGAGCATAGCTTGATAATTGCAGCTTTGTTTAGGCTATTATTTAAAATGGTTAACTTTTTAAAGTTAAGTACAAATGTTTTAGTTTAGTTATAAGGACATTTGGAACTGCTGACTAGAAAATAAATGTTTCTGCTTAAATATAGTGAATTGCAAACTGTCCTTTCCTATTTTGGCTAATTTCCAGGTCTTGGTGGTTAGTTGAAATAATATTTTTATAAAAGGTATATTAAAGAAGTTTATATAAAACATGCTGCTAAAAATATGTTTTGCTTTAAGCATACAGGAGTGGAGTTTTATAACCCTTCCATATTGTGCTGTTTTGTTTTAGTTGGTTTTTATACCATTTCTCCCCTAAGAAGTTTGGCATATATGCTTGTATTTAGAGATGTGGCTTTTGTTTTCCTGTTTAAAGAGAGGGAAGTTTAGTTGATGTTCTTGATGTAGTTGAGTAATCATTTTGTTGACTAGATTGATTTAGTATTGATATAATGTTAACATTATTCCTATAGCCATCGTGGATTCTGGATCTGAAAAATATTGAGATAAGCAAAGAAACGATCGTGGCTATTTTACCAATATCAATACCGTGGAGATATAGATATATACATTATATATACACACCTCCATATATCCTTTAATTTTAGATACTCCAAGGACTACAGTGGAAGATTTTTACAAAAGCAGGTCTCCAAGGTGTCGATATTGTCCAGAATAAAAGCCCATTTTGAAATAAAGTTCTGACTAACTCATTGTTAATGTTCCCTAGTGTTCTTTCCACCACACTTTTTTAAGGACAGGTGTTGCTGGCCTTGAGATATAAAGATAATAAAGCTAACGTGTAATCTAAAAGTACAAATGTGAAGATGGGAATTTGTTTTTTGACTATGGTCACCATTTATAGAACTCATCACTGTTTAAACCTCAGCTAAGATTCATGGTAAACCTGAACCCTCTGTGGAATAAGAACCACCCCAGTTCTTTTAATTTTCTGCAGAGCCTCTTTCGAGCAGCAGAGCCTTTTATTTTTCTTGCCAGCTTCTGGCTACAGTGAGCTTCTTGGCTATCTCCAGCTACTCCTATGCATGTGTAACCTGGTGAAGTTGTGATAAACCTCCTTTAATTGCATGGGTTGACCATATCCCAGAATCTTGGCTGGGGGCAGGCAGGTTAGGGTAGAGGTGGATGGCACAACCATCTTGAATGTATAGTCATTGTTTCGTGAGACCTTCCTCAGCACAAACTTGGCCTGCTAATCTCAAAGGTACACTAGATTTTTTAACCCAGTTCTCTTCTCCTTTTTTGGTGATGATGGAAGTCCTAAAGTAAGGTATGTGACACTGCCGAACAGTTTTTAACTGATAAAAAGCCATGTGAATAACACTTTTATCATCTCAACAGCATATTGCTAGTGTAAATCCTTAGGTTAGTAAGCTGAGGAAACCTTTGGCTGGCCAGTGATCTTGAAAATTCTGCTTCAGTGCACAGTATGGTACCGTGTGGATAATTGTTTAATTTGTGTGTCTATTAAGAACGTGTGCCTTCTAATTTACACTTTCTAGGCTTTTTGTTTGAGGCTGATTAAATTGGAAGAGTTTCAAATGTCTGAAGCTACATTCTTAATTTGTCTTGTGTTACATCCTCAGTCTCACTTTGTAAAGAGAGGAATGATGGCTTTATTATCATACTCATTTAATTGGTGATTGGTATGTGCTGTAAGTAGCTGACCTGTTAGCTAGTCTATGACCAGCTACCATAGAATGACCTTTGGATAGGAATGATTTAGGACTCATAGGACTCTTGGGGTTAAAATGGAGAAGGTAGCCTTTGGGATAAAGGAAGGGGAGTATATACATCAAAAATGTTGAGGAACTGTGTGTTTTAATTAAAATAATTGTTTCTTTCCATCAGAAACATATTTCTATATTTGTAAAAGCTCCTGAAACACAACTGCCCCTCAGGATTTGGGGGTCTAAACTGAAACCAATAATAACTTGTTAGGTGTGTGAAGGAACACTGGGCAGAACATACCAGCAAGTTAAATAAGGGATATGATAGGATGCTGTTAGAGAACTTGAGTGGTTTGGAGCTACTAAGATTCTTATTTGTTACAGTGAAAAATGTCTGCCCTTCTTACTTATTCCCCAACCCCATAATTCTTTTTTTCAGTCGTTCTTAAAGTATTCATTTAATTGAGCAACTATTTGCTGAGTTGATGACCAAGTGCCAACTAAGCCAGATTCTAAAGACACACATTTATATTCAACAGTTCTCTCCAAGGCATGTGGTGCCTACAGTGTAGCACACAGTTGTCATATAGACAGTAGCTTTGCAGTATCCTCTGCCCAGAGAACTCCTCTCTCAGTGTTCATGACTGGCTCCTCCTTATCCTGCAAGGTCTCATTTTAAGAAGAATTTTTCATCTCTGAGGAACTTAAGAGGCCTGCCTGCATCATTCCTCCTAGAGTTTCTCTTGTGTCATCTTATTCCCTTTACAACGTAGATCACATTCTCTTCGTTATTGTAATTGCTTATCTGTTCATTGTCAGATTCTTCCACTGGAATACAGCTGCCGTGAAGGTTCCTTATCTGACCATTTTGTTCTGAGCCGTATTCCCAGTGTCTACAGTGGTTGGTTCATATCAGTTGTGTATTCAGTGAATCCAGTTACAAGTAGAGACTCTGTTATTTGAAGCAATGAGGAAAGGGTATCGTAGGCAAATCTAAAATTAAGAAAAGGTCTGCTGTTGCAGGAGAAATAGTAAATAGTTGAGACTGTTAAGGTGCGTTGGAAGTGGAATATTAGGTTACCAAAGGTAAATTGGAGACTTGAAGCTCACTGCATTCCAAGCCAAGCAAGTTAGAGTCCATTTGTCTGTGCAAGAGAGAGCCAAAAGACTTTTCTTCAAGCAGGGGTGTGGCACAATTAGATAGCTTCTTTGGTAGATGGACTAGATTGTGGGGACTGCAAGCAAAGTTCCATTAGAAGGCGGTGGCCATGAGGACACGTGAAAGCCTAAAATAAAATGTTGATGCTTTGGATGCAGAAAAGAAGTGAGGTGAAGAGTTAACTGGGTATAAGCGAAAGAGCAGAGCTGAAGGGTGATTCTGAAAGTTCTGATTCAGGTGTGTGAGTGTTGGAGGGTGGCTGTGTCAACTGAAACTAAGAATTAAGAGACCACAAGTATTTCTGAGGGGATTGATTAATTTGGGGTTTGTTGGTTTAATTTAATGGACATGCTGAACAGCCTGTGAGGAATATGGATTCAGATATCTGATAGGTTAGGATTGTTGTAGGAGTCAGAAACTCATAGATAGCAGTTGAAGCTTGGAAAGCTTGCAGAAGAAAAGGATTTGTGACAGTGGTTTATAACCTTCAGGGATCTTAAATTTGTTGAGAATATGAAAAACAAATGGCCTGAGGTACGCATCCACATGTGTGTGCACACAACTTCCAGGGGTTCCGCACCCCTGGATCCTGTTGTTGAGCTTTTCAGGGACTGTCCTGGATTTCGGTTAAGAACTTCCAATTTGTGGAGCAGGAAGGTATTTGAGACGGGAGGAGAACCTAGGAAAGTCACCTCAGAAGCCACAGATAGGAGGTGGTGAGGGAGAATTTTGAGAATCGGGAGTGCCCAGTGCTTTATGCTCTGGAGAGGTCCATTAGGAGGGAGATTCAACCGTGACATCAGATTCGGCAGTGAGCCGTTCAGTCGTAAACGTTTCATACCATGTGGAGGCACAGGGCAGAGTGTGAAGGATTCATGCATGAATCCAGTTAAGGAAACAATGCATGGTAAACAGAGTGCAGAAGTCTCGATGTTCTCTAATGATAAACAGGTGTGATGGGAGACTAGGGCCCAGTTTAAGGACCTGCTGAAAGGGAAATTCCATTACTGTGATGACCTGTTGTGGCGTTGCAGCCCAGTAGTTCTCAGCTGGCTGCTCATTGGAAACAACATGGAAATATTTTTAAAAATTAGGCCCCTATGTGGGTTAGTTAATCAATATCTCTGGGGGTTGAGGCTTTTTGTAGTTGTTGTTTTATCTTTTACTTAGTGGTTAAGAACTAGTGTTGCAGTCAGAAAACTTCATTATCATTCTTGACTTATGTTCTATGTAAGAATAAGAATACTTTCTTTTACTTGTATGTTGTCTAATTACTCAGTTTACTGTTGTGCTATTTTAGAGTATTTTTAGTCTTTCTCACAGACCTTAATTTCTAGTTTAAAAAATGTTAAGGCTTTTTTCTGCTCTTCAGCCACATCCTCCATACTTACTGTTTTTGAGTGACTCAGCACTCAGACAATTAAAGATTTGACAGTTCTGAGTAAAATAGGACATTCTTAATGGTGCTTACATGTGGAAGATATTCATTCTGTAATCCTGTTTGCTTACTTTTTCACTAAATAGCAAAAACCGTATTTTACCTAGAAAAGTTTGAACTCTGTATTACTATTTTCCAGCTAGCTAATTTAATTCATAATTCCACCTTCCTTTTCTTAAAATGGCAGCCAGGCTTGACGCAGACCTTAAACAGGTTGTCTGCACCAGAGCACAGTTTTATACAAAGGCTAAGCCTGTAAGAGCAGTTGAGAGGAAACCATCAGAATAGAAAATCTCCCCTGTTGTATTTCTACCTTGGGGGTGCTTTCTCCTGACTAAACTCTTGATGAGCTATCTGCATTCAAGTTTGAACCCTGCATCCACACCCCTGACATAAAAATCAGAATAGGGAGAACTTTGATCTTCATGGGTGTCAAACCTGACACCAACCAGAAGGTGAAAAATGGGTTGTTCACCTTATTAGTCCCCTAGTGAGTTAATATTTATACTACCAAGAAAATTATAATCTTCCTAAAATTATATGCTTTTTATTAGCTTATTAATAGCTAATGGCTTAATTAGTTTCACAAGTTGTGGTTACTTATGAGTAAATTAGGACAAATACCAAGATTCTCTATA